AGTATGTCTCTGAAGTATTAAAAAGAAGGCACAGTCGTAGTTTAGAAATTGCACTTCGAATTGAGCTTTGTAGATGAAGTTTCAATGACTGTCAATGGACGGGTTAGTTGTCAGAAATGATTATATTGTGAAAACTATCAGGACTATGGCTTAGCCGTTGACATAACATACAGGGTAATTAGTGGGGTAATAGCTGATTGATAAGGAGACATCTGGCTGCTATTTTGGGGTCAAGAAGGAATTTTTTCCTAGTTTGTGGCAAAATTGGAAGTGCTTCAGACCAGGTTTTTTGCCTTCTTTTGGATCAACAGCAACAACATTTCTGAGGAAGGCTGAACTTGATGGACGCAAGTCTCTTTTCAGCTATGTAACTATGTAACTATGTAACTATGTAACAATCTGCACGTTTTGGTAAATTTTTGTCTATGTAGTGTAAAAACTGTGGGAGGAGTTAGGGTGGCAAATTTGGCTATAATAAGAATAATAATATTTATGTGAGATAACAATAAGTGGTCTTGCTATGCAAGAACACTTAATAACTAGAAAAGCTACAATTTCTGGGGAAATTGTGTGAAGTGTTCTTGCCTCCACCAGTAGTCTACAACTGGAGTGGGCAGAGTAACTGTTATCATTTATATAACACATTTAATTGCAACGTTGTTGCACAGTTACATTAAACCATCCATTTATAAAACATTAGCAGGTGTTCAAAAGGCCCTGTCTATGACATCACTTACTGCTGCAGCCTGACACAGGTCAGAGTATTTTGGCGGTTGCCATCTTCAAACGGTCGTATCTTAAAAACTGTAACTCCTACAGCGAAGAGCTTTATATTGTGAGAATCACAAGACCCAGACCTACAGTTTGATGCATAGTATATCTCTGAAGTATTAAAAATGAAGGCACAGTCGCAGTTTAGAAATTGCACTTCAAATTTGAGCTTTGTAGAGTGAAGTTTCAATGAATGTCAATGGACGGCGTTAGTTACAAACAAATGATTATATTGTGAAAACTATCAGGACTATGGCTTAGCCGTTGACATGTTTAGTGGCAGGAGGGATAGCTGAACGTTTTGATATAAGATTTGTGTAGGTGGGCCTGAAAATAAGGGAGTGGTGGCAGTTTAGAAATCTTGTCCTGATTTTTCAGCTTTTGCCAGCTCCCACTCTAGCTTTGCCATTCATTCCTATGGGACAAATCTCGCCACAAGAACGACGATATTCCATGAACCATTCGGCGAAACGTTCCACAAAGTAATAGCAATCCGATCGGGAACAGTCTGCACGTTTTGGTAACTTTTTGTCTATGTAGTGTAAAAACTGTGGGAGGAGTTAGGGTGGCAAATTTGGCTATAATAAGAATATTAATATATATGTGAGATAACAATAAGTGGTCTTGCTATGCAAGAACACTTAATAATATATATGTGAGATAACATTAAGTGGTCTTGCTATGCAAGAACACTTAATAATGTGACAATAGGCTACTTCTCCAACACCAGCTATACAGTATAGTAAGATGTGGATAGCAATAGTAATAGGTTACATATGCTCATTTCCTCCTCATATAAACCAATCTACTTTTATTAAATGGAGCGCACGCTTAATAAAACAAATTTTTAAACCTAAACGCTAATAGTGCCAACATTCTCCTCTCTCAGGTCTAATGTCAAGTGCTGTCCACTCAGGGCCGACGCATCCTGTAGAGAGCCTCTGGCGGCTGCAGCACTGCCCGGGCCGGTGCGTCCATTAGGGTGCACCATGGGCGCGAGATATGAGTGATCAGCAGGAGGGAAGTGCTGCAAGTGCAATCACGTTTCTTATTAGTATTTAACTATTCTTATTTATATTTTGTGTTGGATGTTCTGCATGTCACAATAAATATATTTCTGCTTGTTTGTTAATATTCTAAACCCTTTTTAAATTACTGCAAGAAAGGCAATAAATAATCTCTAAGCAATATTTACATGACTATTTAATGTTCTAAATCTAGATATTTATTATTTTTATCTTTGACCAGTAATCTATACTCAAAATTTCATTTTTATGCTACATTAATGCACATTAATAATCATGCATAACATATTTTAAATAAATACTAATAATTTTGAAAAGAATAAGTGCTTGATAGTGATACGGATAATAATAAATTGTGTCTGCACTTCTAACTTATACTAATAAGTATATGCTGGCAGGAGAGAAAGGTATTTCCAAACATTTTGTTGTTAATCAAAACTATTTAGATTGTCCTTTTTAGTAAGTATAGCATAGTTATCCAATGTCTACCTATCTGGTGCACAATTAAGTAAACATTGATTAAAATAATAAATCCTTAACCCCTTAAGGACTGCGTCAAATGTACACGTTGTGATCAAAACAAAACGTAAACAAAACCTGGCATTTGACTATATGTCTGTTCAACCGTAATTCACCTCTTTCATATTATGTGCACTCACACTTATTATATATCATTTTATTCAGGGGTAACATTACTTTCATTTAACATCAAATATTTGGGTATGAAATATAATTTAATATGAATAAAATATAAAAAAAAAGGAGAAAATAAAACGTTTACATCTTTTTTTAGTTCTACGTGACATTTTAACTGTGAATGTCATAATACTGTTTGCTTTTACTGCAATAAAATACACATATTTGTATTCAGCGATGTCTCACGTGTAAAACAGTACCCCCCCATGTACAGGTTTTTATGGTGTCTTGGAAAGTTACAGGGTTAAATATAGTGCTAGTAAATTAAATTCCCTGGATTTTCGGCCTGGGTTGTCAGGCAGGTCCCGCAAATTGTAATTAATAAAATGACCTATTTATGTAAAATTATTATATAAATATATACGTAGAAATATGATATATATGTGTTTATATATATGCTGAACTTGATGGACTCAAGTCTCTTTTCAGCTATGTAACTATGTAACTAATATATATATGTATATCATTTTTTAAATTATTTTTATTTATGTATAGGTATATATGTAGTGGTATATACGTATATACTTATGTATGTATGTAGATATATAATTTCGCTCTACGTGTGTTTTGATATCACTATATATTAATTTAAAAATACAGTTAGAATGAAATTACACACACACATATATATATATATATATATATATATATATATTACGTATTTACATATTTATTTTATATTATATATAAATATATAATTATAGTTATATATATATATATATATATATATTTAATAAATATCATTCTATGTGTATTTTTATATTAATATATATATATATATATAATTATATATATATTAATATTAACATACACTTAGACAGTGTATGTGTATGTATATGTGTATATACATACTTAGATCATATATATAATAAATAATTATATGATCTAAGTATATATTTTATTTTAAACTGTTTTAAAATATTTTATTTAAAATGTTTCAGTCAACAGGGGGAGTACCTGTCATTACAGGTAGTGATGTCCCGAACGGTTCGCCGAACAGTTCGCGAACGGTTCGCCACGAACGGTTCGCCACGGACTCATCATTGAGTAAACTTTGACCCTGTACCTCACAGTCAGCAGACACATTCCAGCCAATCAGCAGCAGACCCTCCCTCCCAGACCCTCCACCTCCTGGACAGTTCACTAAGAATGCAGGTTCACAATGAATGTAAAATGGATGCTGTCCAGGAGGTGGGAGGGAGGGTCTGCTGCTGATTGGCTGGAATGTCTCTGCTGACTGTGAGGTACAGGGTCAAAGTTTACTCAATGATGAGTCCGTGGCGAACCGTTCGTGGCGAACCGTTCACGAACCGTTCGGCGAACCGTTCGGGACATCACTAATTACAGGCACTCCCCCTGCTGGCATTGCTGTGTACGGCTATCACATGGCCCAGGAGGGCCGGAAGGGGAGTAGGGGGACTTCCTGGGATGCCAGGTGAGTCCCCCCACCACGATCGCTGGCGTGGGATCGCCGGCGACCGTTTAAGTGAATAGGGTGGCAGGGATGTGCTATATTTAGCAGCGTTTAGAGCCGGGTCTCCAAGGACGGCATAGCACGCCTGCCATCCTTAAGGTGTTAAACAATTAAATACAGCTGTAAAAAATAGCAAAGTCTGAAAAATAAAAACAATTATCACATCTGAAATACTGAATAAAAAAAAGACTTATTTTTAATCCAGAAGAAGAGGGGTGGGATGCTACACCCCATACATCATTCCTGAAAGCTGCTGGAATCGACTGGCCAAATGAGAAGTGACTGCAAGGTTCCTATATACACAGAGCACAATTGGATATCAAACAATTGGATAAACACAGGTTTATAAAACATATATAAAAAAAAAACTTTGTTAAATATACGTGTGGCACAATTATTGGCACCCCTGGTAATTCATATGACAAAAATATATTCCAAGTATATTAATATTTTACATATTTTACTATATCTGGGTGTCTAGGAACATAAAATTGTTCAACCATGACTTCCTGTTCATAGGGATATACATATGAGGTAACACATAGGCCAAATTACCAATTTCATTTAGCTGTGATGTGTGGCAAAATGTTGTTGAGAATATTAAACCAAATGAGAATTGGCTATAAGAACATTGTAAAAGCATAGAAAATGCCCATTTCCACCCATCAGGGCAATAGTAAAGAAGTTACAGTCAACTTGAAATGTTATGAATCAACCTGGAAGAGGCCACTTGTCTATATTGCCTCAACACACTGTGAAGAGGATGGTTTGAGTGGCCAAAATCTTTTCAAGGATCACAGCTGGAAAATTGCAGAAGTTAGTTGTGTCTTGTGATCAAAAGTCTACAATCTGACATCGCCTACATCCCCACAAGTTATTTAAAAATGTTTAAAAAATAAATAAACTCAAGTATGACAGAGTGCTGGTACGCCGTCACTTGGGCATCAAGGGCTCCTTTGTTTTGTAGGGCTCTGGTGGGGAGTGGCCATTTAGACCGCACAGACTTAGACCTAGCCACAAAATGGAGTGACAAGATGGCGCTGAACCAGAAACTGTGTGACCACGTGGGTGAGGGTTGGGACTTTCCCCTTTGTGACTGAGTGAGCTGAGTCACCTATTGTTTACTGTGTGTTAATACCTTTACCTTATGCATAATGTTTTACTGTATATGCAAAGTAGGTGTTCTGTGCTGGTGTGTCCTATTGGTTATTAATGGGCTTAGTGTGATTGGCTGTTGTTTAGGCCCAGTTTGATTGATTGCTGTTCCAAACCTTTGTGTGTTTACTTGTATACAAATACCTGGGTGTGTCTAATAAAAATAAGTTCCTGTTCTATCCTCAAGCTGTGTATGTCTGCTGTTCTAGGGGGAGAGGTGTTAGCTGACCGAATCTTCCAGAACAGGCTGACATTTGTGGTTTGGCGGCAGGAAGAACCTGTTTGGATGGGTGTGCTCAATCTGGGCACAGGGGACCCGTCACATCAAGCATTTTCACTTTTGGCAATAAACACCAGAGGTGTGTTTGACGCACACATCAAATACGTGATACAGGTATTAAATAAATACCTCTGCCAGAAACATTAAAATGGGCAGTGGCTGGATTTTCCAGCAGATCAATGATCCAAAACATACATCTGACCACAAAATCAAGATCATGCCATGGCCGTCGCAGTCCCCTGACTTGAACGCATACAAAACCTGTGGGGTGAACTGAAGAGGAAAGTCTACCAACATTAACCTTGGAATTTAAAGGATCTCAAGAGATTCTGTATAGAGGAATGGTCTGGAGTAGGTAAGTTGTATGGATCAGGTAGATAAAGCGTAGTTCAGGCTGGTATTGAGCAGTTTTGGAAGTAAGCAAGATTGAGGAGTAGTTCAGGCTGGTATTGAGCATGTTTTAAATAAGCAGGAATGTAGAGTTGTTCAGCCAAGTCTGGAGTAGGTTGGTGAGTAAAGTAAGTTATGAAGGCAATAAGGTAAGTCCACAGGTTATAACACAGGAGCCAGGATTCAAAGACTTTCAGGCAATCATCAACTTCAATATTAAGACCATGAGGGGAGTTGGGTATAACCTTTTATAAGATCTGAGTTAGTCCAGGCAGGTGAGGATGAGATGGAAATCTCAGTGCTAGTCAGAGAGGCCACTAGAGGCAACTATTAGTCACTGCAGGAATGAATTTATGAAATGAATAAAGTTCAGATTTTAGATTTTTGGATCCTGACAGTGGCCGAAGTTCTTGCACAGGCCCTGATGAGGTAATGCAAGCTTCGAAGATCGATTTAAGAAACTCACAAAGTTCACCTAAGGTTATTTTACAGTTTGATTTATGACATAAAATGGTGCCTCACATGGGGATGTGATAGCATTATACAAATAACGTAAAAGAAAAGGGTTTTTTTACAGTAAGAACAGTAAGGATGTGGGATTCTGTGCTTTTATCAATGTCTCTACAACTGTTGAAAGAACAGTTGGATAAATACTTTCAAAAACATAAAATACAGGGATATATTTTCTAATTTGTGGGGTACTAGCTTCCTGATCCAAGGAAATACCTGAGTGCCATTCTAAGATCAAAAAGGATTTCCTAATTTGTTGCTAAATTTGAGTTTTTTGCCTTCTTTTGGATCAACAGCAAAAAGAAATGTGAGAAAGGATGATCTTAATAGACACATTTTTCTATGTAACTAGGTAACATTGCATAGGAGGTGGGAGAGCACTATAATATGGCCTTACATTTAAAAAAAAAAAATCTATTATCCAAATTTAAACATTGCACACTAAAAAATATCAATCATCATATCTACTACACATTATATCAATAATGTCTGAAATGTGAGTATTATTACTCTAATCTCGATATTTATTTTTATCTTTTTAATCACATACCACACTAGATAATAATGTGTGTGTTGCCATATGTTATTAAATTAATGAGATAAAAGTGTAAAAGGCTTGTTTTTGGGGAGTTGAGATCAACATTAGTCAAAAACCCTTGAAGGCTAGGACTAGTTTTCAGGCAAAAATAAGAACATACATTATAGAATATTTTTTTAGTCACTGTTTTTCAACTATATATTTTCAAAGTTAAAGAATCCATTTTTGTTAGCAGCTTTGGAACATATGTTCTACTTCACATTTTACTTAACACACTCAGCATCTCACAATCAACTGCATAAACTTTTATGAGCAGAAATTAAAAAAAATAAGTCTATAAGAATTGAAAACAACTAATGTTTCTTAAAGATTATATGTATGAAATTCACAGAACATATGCTGCAATTGTATCCTTTGATCATAGAAGTGATGACTTTATTCTTTTATGTTCACGTTGCAGTTGAGGACATTTTTAAATGGTAGTGAATCTTAGAGTGCTCTTTGTTTAGAGTTTTGTAGGCGGTGACATTTCTCTTTCAGCTGATATACTGTTTGCTTGAAAAATAACCCTAACTCTTTAAATAATAGTCTATAATATGTAAGGATAACTTTATTACATTAATCACTAGAAGATAAAAAAACACACACAGATATTATGAATAAATGTATATATTCATAAAGATAGACAGGGTTATTTATTAAAGAGAGAATTCAAAGTAAATTTCAGATTTAAGGCCTGAACTGAAAGCATAGCTGAATTAGAGGATATTTCCAGTATGGCTTTTTTTTTTTTTACTTAAATTTTACATTCATTTTGAATTCAGCTTGCATTATCACATTAGAGATTAACCCTGTAAGTGTTAAATTCATGCCCCCCCTCTGTCCCTCCCCCCTTTGAGATTGTAAAATGTAGTAAAACCCCCCTTTAACCCAGCACCATCTTGGTCTTAGTATGGCAGCTGCTCTGCCCACTCTGACATCATCAGCGATGATGATCTTGGGCCAATCGAATCCAAGAATTTCTAGTGTTCAAGTAATCCTGCTGAGTGTGATGATGCTGAGTGTGAAGAGTTTCACTTATTGAAATTCTGATTTGCAGCCATCAGAGGCACACCAACTCTGACAAATGGCAATACTTCCATGTGCCAGACTGTAGGGATCTGGCCCATGCACCAAAACCACTATATTAGGACATAGCGGTTTACTGGTTTTTGTACTTAAAGTTATTTAGATATATAGTCAGTTATTTTAAAATCATGACAATAGATGTTTATTACCAGCTGCTCAGTTTGTATATACGGATTTTGCTTTTATAACTAAAACCATCACAGAAACCACCTCCGTTTACAGTGTTTTCTCATTTTTAAAAAATTTTTTTAACCCCTTAAGGACACAACTTCTGGAATAAAATGGAAACATGACAGAATATTTACGTCATGTGTCCTTAAGGGGTAAAAGGATAACTATAGTCACTGGCAAGTGATAAGGACTCATTTGCACCATTAGACAGAGATTGTTTTGGCATTTACATATTTATAGATATCCCACATATATCTAAGGATGTAGGGGAGAGATATGCATGCATTTTATTTTTCATTTAAAGGGAGTCTAGCCTTGACATAGGACATAGGATGTTATTGGTGTACGGTAGGGAGCCCTTTCTCATGATAGTATCAAAGGTAATAAGAATCTTTCAGTGCCAATGGGTTGCAGAGAACTAGCATTATAGAGGTTATAGGACCATACCATGACTTGTGAGAGACCTTTTGGACAGCAGCAACATCCCCTATGATTAAGCCACAATAGCGGCAAAACACATTGGTGGAAACATGCTGATTTTATTTCAAATTCCAATACATAATTATATATCAATAAATAACATATACCATCATCTCAACTCAAGCACTGGTCCCTATATTTAAAAAAAAAATAACTAAATGTAAAATAAGAGAAAGTATTAGCATAAAAGAGATGAATTACTAGAATATGTGAGTGCATGACACAGCCACTACAGCTGAGTTCTTGCTCATGATATACAAAATCAGCATGCATAACTTGGATAAATTTGTAGATAATAACTTAAAACTAGATCGTATAAACTCATGACATTTCTAATCTTACACAACCAAAAATGAAAAAACAAACAAACAGATTCATATTGTTCTATATATCTTTGTAAATATGTTATGCAATCAAAACCACATGTACCAAAGTGACTCACTACTCCAATATACTGACGAGCACTTTATTACGTGCATCACGTGTAACAATTTAATGGCATGTGCTACTTGTATCATAAATTGAAAAGATTTTATTCTTAATCCAACAGAAAAAAATGGTGTAATTCAATAATCAAATTTAAATGGCTCAATCCAACAGAGTACTTTTGGGATGGAATAAGAGATTCACAGTCCGAATGTGCAGTCAATAAATCTATAGCAACCGCACAATGTTATCACAATGTTATCATGTCAACATATAGTAGAATAAGGAATGCTTCAAAGACCTTGCCGAATTTATACCATGCAAATAATGCAATTCTAGGGCAAGAAAGGCTAATGCTTAATATGGTTACATAGTTACATAGCTGAAAAGAGACTTGCGTCCATCAAGTTCAGCCTTCTTCACATATGTTTTTGCTGTTGATCCAAAAAGAAGGTATAAACCCAGTCTGAAGCACTTCCAATTTTGCAACAAACTAGGAAAAAAATCCTTCTTGACCCCAAAATGGCAGTATGATCTCTCCTTGGATCAAGCAGCTATTACCCCGCTAATTAGAAATGATATCCCTGTATGTTATGTTTTTGTAAGTATTTATCCAATTGCAGCTTAAACATCTGTATGGACTCTGATAAAACCACCTCTTCAGGCAGAGAATTCCATATCCTTATTGCTCTAACTGTAAGAAAACCTTTTCTTTGCCTTAGATGAAATCTCCTTTCTTCCAGCCTAAATGTGTGACCTCGTGTCTTATGTATAGCCCTGTTTAAGAATAGATTTCCAGATAATGGTTTGTACTGGCCCCGAATATACTTGTATAATTTTATCATATTCCCTCTGAGGCGACGGTTTTCCGAACTAAAAAGATTTACAATTTTTAACCTTTTTTCGTAATTAACATGCTCCATTCCTTTTATCAATTTTGTAGCTCGTCTTTGCACTTTTTCTAGTGCCATGATATCCTTCTTTAGAACAGGTGCCCAAAATCGCACAGCATATTCAAGTTGTGGTCTTACCAGCGATTTATAGTGTGTTAAATAAAGTGGACACTCCATATATGTAAAGTTGACAAGCATGCTGTGGGTATCAAATTACACTAAAAACAAACAAATAATCACAAAACTTGTGAAATTAAGGGTATTCAGTACATAAATTGATAAAACCTTGCATCACAGGCATTATTGCTTCATTTTGCATGGAACCTGATGTTTCAAATACAATATTATGCAAATATTTTTTTTTAAACAAAAAGAACTTAGTAATGAATGGATTAATTTGCTAGACTGAGTTGACTTATTGTCATAAAATATTATTTCTTACAAGGTAAAATTTCTCTCCATTAGATATCAGCCATCTCTATAAGCTGCATTCTCTATGACAGAGCTGTAATAGAGAACATTGTTTAGAATATTTTAGGTTGTCATTTACTGCCCAGCTGTTGGCAATCAGCTTGTCA